TTAATGTATCATAATCCTTTGTAACGCTCTATTTTATTGCGTTTTCTTGTACTATTTTGTTGTATTACAAATATGACATTTTTCCCGTGCAAAATTATTAGCAAAAATTAGATTTTTGCATTTTATAATTCATTAATTATGCACAACCAAAAATAAAAAGAGAGGGAGCCTGAGAAATTACGCACAGACCAACGCACACAGTAGGATTCCTCTTTCGGGAGGAGGTGAGTTAATTTTTAGCCAAAACGCATCCTTTACGAAAAATGCACCTGGCCGAAGGAGAGGGATCGGATGTCGGGAGGATGTGTAAATCTTATGCCTGATTTGATAAGGGGGGCCACACACAATGTCCTTCTCGTCGGTCCCTAGGATTCTGTTCTTGTGCCTGTCACACACATGGACTCTCGTTCGGTCTTTTCAAATGTGACAAATTCGTAATCTGCTTGGCTGGTCAAAGGCGATCGGCAGCCGGCAATGTCCTGGCTCTGGCTCTAACCCATCCTGCTCCTCCTCCTCCAACGAATGTCCTGGCTGCACTCGGCCAATCGGGATGCTCACTGAAGAAAACTGCGATGCGACCATGCATGTTTCATGTGCATCTAAGCACATGCCATGGCTCTTATTCGCCAGACAGAGCCGGCTATAGGTCCTGGGCACTATTGCATATTGCATATTGTATTTCTGCATTTTATTCGATTGGATTTTATTGTATTTTTCACTTGATATATATTCATGCAGTCGGATTGTTTGCCTTCTCCCTTGAGTTGTCACGCACAAAGGCAGAACTAAATTGTTTAATTTGATTTCAAGCTTTTCCTTTTTTTTGGGTCGCCTTGCGTCATGACCTCCTGCACCCAAACTAGATCCAATCCCTGGCCATCCCATAAATGACTCAATATTGGGCATGGGCCTTGGCAATTTCACAGACATTAAATTGCGTTTTATTTTTCAATATTTATTATTATCGAATATTGAAACGAAACCCCTAGGCGGGAAAGTGGCTGTTGTGGAAATGGAAATGGAGCTGCAAATGGGAGCGGGCAGAATGCAAAAAGATATAATATCTGTTTCGGGGGCCCAGGTGTGTTCCTGCACGCCACTAGAATCGAATATGGTCTATATATATATATATATATGCACAATCGCAGTTCGCATATAGAGTCGTACGCCTGTCCAATCTGACAATGGTACCATAACACGCGATATGGCTCTTCACCCTTTCCAAAGTAAGTCTCTCTACCCCAATCCTTCCTTCAATCCTTCAACCTCCTTTGTCTAAAAGCCACTCGATATGGTGCGTCTTGCAGTTTCAGGAGTGTTGTTTAGAACAGAACCCTAAACCATTATTTAAAAAAGGAATTCCATGTCAAGGGACAGATAATAATTTATATGAAATGCTAGAAAATTTGTTATTAGTTTTGGTCAGATCTATATTATTTTATATATTTCCTCAATAAAATAATTTTAAGTGAGTTTCACTGCACTTTCTGGTTAAACAATTGTAAATAATAATGAATTATTTTTTAGTTTCTCATATTGCCTGCACTTGTTGTAATATAATATGATTATTATATATTTATTTTGCCTGCTTGCCTGTTAAATTTAAGAGCAATTCTGGTAGAATTACTAGCCTTTAGTCTTAAAAATACTATAATTCTTATAAAACTATAAATGTGAAATTGGCAAACCAAGAAAATATTATCAAAAATTGGCTACAAATCTTAAAAAATCTCGAGTGTGTGTGTGTACTTTCGTTTAAAGGAGTAGTTGAAGCAACAAAACCCCAAACATACTCGAAAAAATTGGCAAATATAATGATATTAAATAAAAACTGATACGAAATTCTGCTCTGGTTGTTGTTGTTGCTGCTGCTTACAAAGGAATTGCAAAAAAATTAAAACACACACACTGAAATTAAAACACTTGAACATCAAAATTGAAGCTGCTGAATGAACCAAAATAGAAATGATTATTTAGCTTCTGATTCTTGATTTCCCCTTAAATTCCCCCCCGTTTCTCGAATTTGCTTGCAACGCACAGGCACATTCCTGAGCGCCAAGAGCGGCATCAAGCAGGAGATCATCGAGCCGGAGACGGCGGAGGAGGAGCAACGCCAGCGACAGAGTCAGCCCCATGAGGCCCATGCCGCGGACCGGCGTCCTTCGGCCAGCAAGTTGGCCAAATTGATGCAGCAGCAGCAGCGGCAATTGCTGGAGCAACGCCGGAGCCACCATCAGCCGCATCATCATCACCAGCCGCATCCTCGCACCAGCATCATCATCCTCATCATCAGCATCGCGTCAACCACAACAACAATAACAATAATAACAACAATAATAATAGCAAGAAGAATCGATCGGCCAACTCCTCGCCCACACCATCGGCACGCTCCTGGAACGACAGCGAGGAGGAGCAGGAGATGGATTGCAGTGGCGGTGGCAATAACCAGCAGGATGATGACCGCTCCTCATCGGCCTCCTCGGCCATATCCCTGACCATGAAGAGAACGCGCCAGGATAGCGAGTCCACGCTCTACCAGACGCTGCTAATGAAACAGGAGCAGCATCAGCAGCAGCATCAACAGCAACATCAGCAACATCACCAGCAACACCAGCAGCAGCAGCAGCAACAGCAGCAGCAGCAATATCTGGACGAACTGCAGCAGTCGGTGTCCGTGTCGCATCAGCAACAATTGACAGCCAATCTGTTTATGGCCAGAACCATTGCCTTGAGCCGATCTCGGGATTTTCCAGAGCTCTTCCAAAACACCATTGCAGCGGCGGCTGCAAATGCCACAGCGGCGTCTGTCAGTCCCGGAAATAATGGCAGTGGACCTGGTCAGGTGACAGGACCAGGACCGGGACCCGGTAGCGCTGCTCCCGGAGGAGTCGGCGGAAACGGAAGTGGAGCTGCGGCCGGAGCCGGAAGTAGCAACTACATGCTGCCCTGCCCGCTGTGCGAGACACCGTTGGAGCAACGTGTCTTCCGGCAGCACCTGGACCGGCACTATCCGCGCGACAGTCCCGTCTGCCCGGTGATCGAGTGCGGACGCCGTTTTGCGCATCCCAACTCTGTGCGGAATCACATGCGGATCAAGCACACGTTGCAGTGGGCCAAGATGAAGGCCATGCGCTCCTCGGGCGGTCCCTTTGCCGGCGGACCGGATTTCAAATGAAACTGCGAGGCTGCGAGCCAATGCCACTCCGGGTAGTCCCGCTAAAAAAAGCTTTCTAGGTTGCTGCTTCTCAGTCAGTTAATGGCGACAATAAATCGAATCTAACTCGCATTCGAGCAGAAAGAAAAAAACAAACAACACACAAAACACACCCAGTCTCGAGACACTCGCATCTATCGTAGATAGCCAAAAGTAGTCCAAGTCCAAGTCCAAGTCGGAGTCGGAGTCCACTATAACTAACTATAACTGTAAGCGCACGAGAGAGGTCCTGCAAACGCTTCCTGCCCGCCAGTCAGTCATCAAAGGCTTCTAGTTATATTATTTCTTCTGATTGTAGAGAGGTTTCAGTCCCTGATTTGTAAGGATATGGAAAAAGTTACTAAGATTCATTAAGAGTTCATTTTGTGCAGAGTTTTTGCAATATATTCAGTTTTGTATATTTAAAGGTATTCATTTTAAAAATATTCACTTTCTGTTCAGACATAAAAGACTTTTTTTCTTTTTCTTATACGTTATAAAAAGGTTTCAGTATTTAAAAGAATTTATAAAATTTTTATAAAACTATGGGAACTGAGAGATCATTCTGTATTAATATACAGATTCATTCGGTGTTCATTTTGGATATTCATTTGCAGAAAATTCATTCATTCTTCATATATATTAGTGAGAGAATAGATTCTATAGAGACTTCTGAACTGGCGGCGCTAGATGAACGCTTTTGGGCTAGGATACTTGCAACAATTATTACGTTCCTATATGCGATAAACTATATTACAAATGCAGACACCTAAAATCTCAAACTTTAAATTCCTTTATGTTAGCTGAGAGAGATTAGGAAAAAGGTGTGTAGAAGACTCGGCTCCAGAAAAGCATGTGCAGTATTAAAAATAAAAAAAATAACAGCAAAAAAACCCAAAGAAATACACACGAAGTATAATAATATTAATTAATAGAGTTACATAAGCAAAATACGTACGATTAAGCCATAGAGGGTGAGATAACTATGTAGATAATGAGCTGAACACGAGCAAACAAAGAAACATGATATATAGAAGTATATATAAAAGTAGCTATTATGAATATTGATACTGAAACAAAATAGAATGTGCCTGCGTAATATATTTTTAGCCAAAACCAAAACAAAACAAAAAAGAGAAAGCGGAAAAATAATTACAAATAAAAACCGAAACTAAACTAAAGTTGAGCATTGCGTTGAAAGGAAATGCGAGCATTAAACTAAAAATCGATTTGTATTAGAGAAAAGTTCAAAAATAAATCGAGGAGATATTCTGTTGATTTAAATTGTGTTAAAACTAAAATGTAATTCGATTCAATTGGCGGCATAACACTCCAAGAGCAGAGACATACGTAAAAAGGTTCCTATAATGTTAATCAAAAAACAACACTAAAACTAAAACTAAAAACCGAAACTCCAGCAAAAATTGCTAAAAACAAAACATAAGAATGAGAGAGTGTTCGATCGAGATACGATTTTCGACTAAAATATAAATTCTATTTCGATGCGGACAATTTTACAATTGTAGTTTATAAATGCCTAAATGAAATGAAAACCAAACAGCCATATGTACGTGTACCACACAGTTTGTATGCCATTTTAGTTTGCAAAATTGTTTCGAGGGCAAACGAAATGTATCTAGTACGAGTATCTTGTATCTGCGTTGCCTAGTGGAATGTGGCGGCAAATCTATTTTGGAGAACAATAAAGAGCAAACGAAGACTTTAGCTGGCTTTTCATTGGTTTATCACCACCGGCACTCTGCATCATTCAAACCAAAACTAATGAATCTCTCCTTGTATCTTACAGTTTCCCGTCGCTCTCTGGAGATGAGGGTACGTGCCACCGATCCCCGTCCCTGCCCCAAGTGCGGCAAGATCTACCGTTCGGCCCACACACTGCGCACCCATTTGGAGGACAAGCACACCGTCTGTCCTGGCTATCGTTGCGTCCTCTGCGGCACGGTGGCCAAGTCCCGCAACTCCTTGCACTCGCACATGTCGCGCCAGCATCGGGGTATCTCCACCAAGGACCTGCCCGTGCTGCCCATGCCCAGTGCCTTTGATCCCGAGCTTGCCTCTCGCCTGCTGGCCAAGGCCGGGGTGAAGATCTCCCCGGCCGAGCTGAGGGCCAGGGCCTCGCCCACCGGCGGCAGTGGCAGCAGTGGAGGTGGTGGTGGCGGCGGCAGCGGCCAAGCCAAGCTGGATTTGAGCAATGCCAGCGGTGGTCCACTGGACGATGCGGAAGATTCGGACGAGGATCCCGAAGACCTTACCACCGGCAATGGTCTGTATGGAATGGGAAGCAGCAGCGACCTGAGCCGCTACCATGAGAGTCTGTTGAGCAACTTTGGTCATGCCAGGATGCGAAATGAGGCAGCTGCAGCGGCGGCCACAGCAGCTGCTCTTGGCCAGCCCAAGGATTTGGGTGTACAGCTACCAAGCAGCAATGCCGCCGGTCAGTCCCTGTTGGACACCTATCTGCAGTTTATCACAGAGAATACGTTCGGTGAGTTTTCAAATAATTAGTGAAAGGTTTCTTAAGGGAAAGTGAACATGAATTTATCCTAATTTCAACATGTAATATCCTCTAAATAATATTCATTATCCTTTCCAAATTCCAGGCATGGGCATGTCCCAGGAGCAGGCAGCCGCCGCTGCGTTGCGCGCCAAGATGGCCCAACTGAATGCAATGGGACACAGCTTGGACAGCCTGCCGCCAGGTCTGCTGCCCGGACAGTTCGATCTGAGCAAGCTAGCCGCTGGGAATCCAGCCTTTGGACAGAGCGGACCCGGACTGACCATTGAGCCTATAATGCGACATGACCAGGGCCCAGGTAGCCTCTCGCCGCATGGTCACGGACCACTGGCCCTTAACTCGGCCGGACGGATGCAGGGACATGAGGAGGCGGCGGACCACGAGGGCGAGATGAGGCGCGACGGGTCGGAGCCAATGGACTTGGGTCTAGACAACAACCAGTCGGGCAGCAACCATGAGGTGGTCAATTCCGATGCCGAGGATAATTACTCGGAGGACGAGGGTGTGCACAACACATAGAAGGAGCAGCGAGTTAGGGAACTTCGATGAATATGAATACGAGAAAAGAGAGAAACACAAACAGTTGTATACCGATTACCCATGGAACATATGTAACGAGTAGCCTTATCCTCATGTATACCAGTTTATGTGTACGATACGATACAATACGATAGTGTACTAGAATAGGACTAAAATCATATTATTTGTGCCGCTGCCAGAGCTGGCCTAGTAGAATTCAATGTTGTGCTTTTTAAACTACCTACCTATACCCGATATATATATATACATATTATATATATTTATATATACACACGTACCTGCTGTGTATACAAGTCGCCGTGAGGAGGATGAAGAGCAAGTAGCGGCAAGAGCGACAGCTCCAGACAGTGCATCCCGCATGAGAAAGAATCGTATAATGGTAGTCCGTAATATATATATAGAGTTGTAAGTTAGATTTCACATTGAAAGCGAAGCCTGTAAATACATAGAACGATATATCGATGTTAGACCAGAAAAGCAGAGTAGCAGCCCCTAAAAAACAATCCGTCGCATTTAACACTTACGTATGTTAGTATTGTACCAAACGAGACGACAGCAGATAATTCAGATGTGCCATGGATGCCACAGCCTTCCAGTTCCAAGTCTTGCCACTCCGTCGATCGATTCAAAGTGCTTACCATATCTCAGGAGAAACACAAAACACACACTCGCGGTCATATCCGAATCACTCACTCAACCGAACTACCTCAGCCAGCGACAGCAGAGTTGTAAATCCTGAAACGAACCCCGATACTTCCACGAGTTGTGACTGGTCCTGTTGTACAATCCACATCATCTCCAGGAATCTTGCCAATTTTGATCCGTAGTCTTAGGATCTGACCAACCTGCGGGAAGATCAGAATAACAGAAAAATGATTATTTATATAATATATACTATACTATATGGTATACAGTGCACACACTTGGTATACGTATATATACTCACACTTAAGGATACATATGAATGAATGCCTGTACTTATATTTGTCAGTGAGAGAGAATTGAATACCTCAGCATACTCAGCATTCGGCGGTGGATCTCCGTTTATGCGGATCCTATTATACATATAAATATAATAATAAAATAGGATTAGTTAGTGTATGTGGACAGTGCACTGCAAGCAAGACATAGATAGATGTAACTAAGCGTTTCCTGTATGTATTTAGTTTGAGCCTCAGTTATCCCTAGGTTTATGGTTAGCTTCAAATCGAAGACGAGCACAGAGACAGACTCTACAAGAGTCGCTACCACTTGCCTTATATAACCAGCAACAACACATGTGTTACTTTAGTAATTTTCTACCTCAATTAATTTAAATGTGTAATTTATTTATAAGTTTGCAATCGTGGAACTAACTCACCTGACTTGGTTTGTTTCGAGTACTTGAACAACCTCTGCTTACTCCCGGAGTCACCGAACCTAGAATAATAATTAAGGAATGAAATAAAAGAAAACCCAAGTACATGCGAGTATATATATATAAATATTTACCTTTTTGATTTAATCCGTTTATTGTACTTTTCGGTTTTCCTTGTCGCTCTCTCGTAGGTGGAGTGCAATAGTTCGCATTTTCTTAGGCTTAAAACGCATTAAAAGGCTAATGCAATTTGGTTAGGACGTTAGCTTAAAATCTATTAGTTAAAAGTCGTTACATAAGCAATATATAAGTAGACATTCATGTGCTTAGAAAGTTATAAATATTTATTGACATTACAATAAAGCCGCGTTATGAAGAACAATTTGTGCGTTTTGCCTGAATAGTTTGTGCCTTTCAGGCTCTCATTGGGCGGCAGATACATTACTTAAAAAGGTAAGATAAATAAATGCTAAGCAATGTACATATTAAATTGCTTATTAAAAACTAAAACCGACAAGCGGTCAAAAGACATAGAAAGATGACTTAGTTCCCGGACCGATTAACTAACATATATATACACCTAAAGTAGAGGCAAGTTGCCTATTTCGGTGCAGCAGCAGCTGATTCGAAGGCAGCTATCTTATCGCGCATCTTGCCCATTTCGTCCTTGCGCATCATTAAAACACGCTTTGACGTTTCATACTTTTCCCTGACAGTAGCCAGTTCCTTCTTTAACGTTTCACATTGTTTCTGCATATAATTTTTAACATAAGATTCTTGTCAAGAAAGAAAAGAACTGAGACTTACCGTAAGTGAATTGATTTTGCCACTGGTCAGGGATGATACATTGGATGTATCAGTGTTCTCATTCTGCTTTAACTTCTCCTCCAAATCCTTGATGAGATGGTAGCGAGAGCGCAGCAAGACAAGAGCATCCTGATACTTCTTCTCCAATTGACATTCAGTTTGTGTGTGGACCGACGGAGACACTAAGCTCGGCTTAGGTTCAGACACTTGAGCAGGTGCCGACTTGGCAGCATTAGAGAGATCATTGACTTTGGCATTGAGATCCTGAATCTTCATCTTGAGCCGCTTCTGCTCAGATCTAGCCTTCTCCTGCTCCTCTATCACACGTTTCTTTAATTGCGCATTCTCGTCCTTCAGAGGATGGTGCTTCAGCTCCATGTTTAAGGCAGTAACCTGGCTCTCACGAATGAATAGTTCTTGCTGGCAAGCCTGCAGCTTGCTATCCAATTCCGTGCAGTTACAGTTGTTGTCTGAAATGGAATAAATTCAATTAATTAACTAGCAATTTAAAGCTTTTGCAAAAGAACTCACCCACTGGGTCTGTCATGGTGCCACAATCCCTAACGTCATTCCAATAGGACTGCCTCCGGTGCTCGTCATAAGCTGAAAGCCGCCGACTCCTCCGCATCTCGGATTCAAAGCCTGCCGATTTCTGTACATGAAAGCATTGAATTTAAATTAGAACCAAGGATTTAAACAGAATTCCATGGCTTGGACACTCACTCTTGGAACACTAGCCGTAGGATTGCGGTCAAAACTCTTCCTCGGCGCAGAGCCTGACGATGTATTCGAGTCAAAGGAACTGTTGGTTTTAAGAGATTGTAAGGTAGAGAGTTCAGTCTCCAGCTTGGTGACAATATCGTTCAGAGTGCACAGCTTCTCCTCGAGGTTACGCTTGTCTTCGAGAAGACTAGAAATAGTGGCATTCATGCTCTCCCTCTCAGTCAGTATGCTGCTCTCCTTGGATTTCTAAATACAAAAATTTAATTTCAAGAAATTACAATAATATTAATTTATATATTACCAAAGTTGTTCGTAGCTTTTCGATCTCCTTTGTGAGTTCCACTTTCTGGTCCATGTATTGCCGGCTTTTAGTGTTGGCTGCCTCTGATTCTGCCTCTTTGGCTTTAAGCTTCGCTATGAGTTCAGCATTACGATTATCATTCAAATTCAAGGCACTGATCCTCTCTTCCATCAGTTGCTTTTCCTTTGACAAAGTGGATATATTCGAATTTAAGCCCTCCTTAACGCTCTCGAAACTTTTCGTTTTTGTTTCCTAGAAAAATAAAGGTTTAATTAAATTATTAGGTGGAAAAGGTATTAATCTTGATTAGTTTACCATTTCGCGTCGTAGCTTATTGCACTCCTTGGTCAGTTCTCCAAGGGAATGCCGACCTATCTCCACTTCTTGACCCATCTCCAAGACTTTTTGTTTAAATTGTGCTTCCTTATTCCGTAGCTCCTCCTTCAATCTAGTTTTTGTCTCTTCCAGCTCAGTGAATTGAGTTCGTAAAGTTGTGCGTAGCTTCTGCTCTTCTTCAAGCTGGTTGCGGAGGTTGTGGACATTCCTCAGCTTCACTTTAAGATCCTCATTTTCAGCCTCCAGGCTATCCTTTTGCGCTTGCACCGATTTTAGTTTTAATTGCAACTCGTTCATAGAACTGTTGACATCTATGAGCTCCTTTTCGAACTTTCCTGCTTGGCTGGCCATCTTTTCCTCCACTGCCTGCAGCTGCGATGTAAGAGCCAATTGCTCCGCGCTAGCAGTATCTTTTGCCTTCTGGACATGCTTCAGCTCCGAACGAAGGTGTTCCTTTTCAAGATCTCGACTGGAGACTTCCTTTTGAGAAGCAAGCAGTTGTGACTGCAATATGTCCACCTTCTCCTGTAGCGTGGCGGACACTGCCGTTGCCTCCGAAAAGGATATCTTCAGATCTTCATGCTTTGAAAGCAGATCGTCTAGACTAGCAGCCTTTAGCCTAGCACTTTGCAGTTCTGCTTCAAGATCACTTAATTTAGCTGACATAGTCTCGAGCTTCTCCTCGAAATCAGACTTCTCCGTTACCTTCTGCTGGCTCAAATCATTCAGTTGCATTTCAAGTTCGTTAAGTTTTTTTAAAGTTCTGGAGTGCTGTACATCGGCTTCATCGATTTTGACTTGCAGAATTGACTTTTCCTGTCCTAAAGTACCTATGTCACGTAATTGCTGCTCGTACTTTTCTTGAAGCTCTTGAATTTTGCCGTTCGATGAGGCCATCAGCTCTTTGTGCTTCGAAACCAGATCGTCATGGCTGATGGCGTTCAATTGGGAACTTTGTAGAGCTTCTTCGAGCTCACTGATTTTGGTGGTGAAAGCCTTGAATTGCTCCTTAAATTCCCTTTCTGATGTCAGCTGTTTCTGTCTTTGAGCATCCATTTCTGATTCGACTTTCTGGAGGCTATTTTTGGCGCTCAAATACTGTACATTGGCTTCATTGATCTCTGCCTGCAGATTAATCCTCTCCTGCTTCATGTTATTCAAGTCCAAAGCTTGTTGGTCACACTTAGTTGTAAGTTCCTGGATCTTGTTGTTGAAGGAGGCAATCTGTTCGTTGCGCTGTTCGTGGTCTGCCTGTGATAGTTTTTGAAGCTGCTCCAGTAGTTGTTGATTTTCCATCTTTAGTTTATCCAAAGCCGATTCCTGTTCAGCAACTGCGGCTTCTTTTGCGTCCCGTTGACAGGTTATATCGTTAATATAAGCCTGTTTTTCTTTGACTTCAGCTAACTTTTCATTCAGGGTTTGTGTGATCGTTTCAAGCTCCGCTTGATGCTGGGCAGTCTGTGCCTCGGCTTCAGCTAGTTTCTCTTTCAGACTTTTCGTGATCGTCTCATGCTGGGCTTTTACCTTTTGCCTTTCCTCTTCCATCTGGCTAAGCTTTTCCTGGAGAGTAACTCTGTTCTCGTCGGGCTCAGTCTGGACGTGATCCTTTAGACTAGACAGCTCTTCTTCGGCCTGCAACAGCTGTTCCTTCAACAGTCTTATTTCGTTTTCATACCGATCCTTGCTCTCCTCCAGTTCCTGGGTATATCCACGGAATTTCGCACGGTTCTCGTTCTCACTTCCTTCGATTTTCATTAAGTACTCCAGCTGCAGGGAATTAATCTCATCAGTTTTTAGCTTTTCCGTTGTTATAAGCTCATATTTGACTCTACTCAATGACTGCCTTAGTTCCTCTATTTGTTTTTCATACTCAGAGGAAGGAGTGGTCTGCTCCTCTACCTTGATGTTGCGCTCTTGAAGCTTTGCATTCTTTTCCTGAAGCTGGTCTATAAGCAGAGCATCATCGGAAAGTTTCTGACTCTGGCGGTCCAGTTGCTGTTGCTTTTCCTGGACTTCGTTCTCCAGCTCCACCAACTTTACCTCCGAAGATAAACAGCGCTCGCCCAATTCCTCAATTTCGGCTTTTAGCTCAGCGATGTTATCTTCCTTGAGCTGCATCTGCTTCAACAGACTCTGTACTTCTGCCTGCAACTCGGATACTTTTGTTTGCAGCTCGGCGAGGGATGCTTTATGGGAGGAATCCTCTTGGGATTGCCTGGCGGACGATTCATGGGAACCTGAGATGGTATCATCATTGGGCATAAGATGCACCAGACTCTCGCTCATTGTGCTGTTTCTATGAACTTTATCCTGCAGCTCCTCATACACCATGGTCATTTCCGCATTCTGCTTTTCCAGGGACTCGATCTGACGCTGGTAGTCCTCAACCTTATTAACAATCACACTCTTTTCCAAAAGTTCAGACTCCAGGTTGGTCATCTGCTCTCGCATCTCATTAATGGTTGCTTCTGTGGCCTCCATCAGCTCGTTTTTCTCCTTGATTTCCTGTTCCAGCTGAGATATGAGATTAAGGAGCCGCTTTTCTTCTCCGCCGTCAAGGTGATCCTGACTTAGTGCCACAAATTGGAACATTTGTTGTTTTATAACGCCTTTGAGGGGAATGCCTTCGGATGCATTAGCCTGCTGAGTCTCGCTCTCGATGTACTTTGAAGATTCGAGGCAAAGCTTCAGAGCTGTTATATTATTCTCCTGCTCCTTCTCCGGCTTAGAAACTCTGAAGAGACGACTTAATCCCGAATGGTTTTTAAGTTCAATCTGATGGATCGATTCTGACAGCTTAGCAAACTGCTCCAGGAGATCATTGTTGAAGACTGCCTCTTGCTCTGTTTCCCCGAATTCAGTTTCTACACCAGAACTTTTCATGGAGTCAACGCCAGAACTCTTCATGGATTCCACGTCGTAACTGGGAAGGGGTCGCTGCTTTAGCTCATTCCGAAGAGAATCGTTCTCCTGAACCGATTCCATTAGCTGACTGGAAAGATTGTCGTATTCCTCTTGGATCGAGTTGAAGTTGGACGTCATCTCAGCTAGCTTCGCCTTTAGTTCGTTGTTTTGAGCTTTTATTTCTTCGGCAAGGTCGTCTTGGCTAGGAACATACAATAGCTTACGCTGAGTTTCCTCCACTCGCTCCTTCAGAGTTTTAATCTCGAGCTGCAGACTCGTGTTTTCAGCCTGCAGCTGCTGGTACTGATTCAGAGGCGTGTGAAGTGCGTTCCAGATACTCGTATTCCTCCTGTAGCTTTTGGTACTTTTGCTGAATTGCTTGGAAGTTTGCCTGCATAGTTTCAATAGCTTCCTGTTGGGCGTCGTACCTGCCCTGCAGCATCGCAAAGTCATCATGGGCCTTGGAAATCTCCGCTGATAGCCGCTGACAGTCATCCTTCTTTTGGGTCGCCTCGCTTACAGCCACATCGAAGTCCGACTGCATTCTCTCCAACTTGGCTTGAGTCGCGGCGATTTCAGATCGAAGCCTGTCGCATTCGCAATCAACTTTATTTGAGCCTTCATTTACGTCGGTTTCATTTAGCGTTATGTCTCCTAACTCAACTTGATTGGGGCACATGGAACGCATGAGAGCCTCTTTGCTGTTGCGCACCATATCTCGAGATAGATCATCGAGGCTCTTTTGCAAATTTTCAATGGCCAACTCTTTCTCGGAGAGGGCTGACAGCAAGTCCTTCTCTCGCAGGCTGGACTTCTTCTTGTAAGCCTCGAACTGGAACTCCAAACTGATTGCCTCGCGGTTCTCTACATCCATCTTGGCAATGGTTTCTTTCAGAGCTTTTATTTGGTTCTCGTACTCGACGATCTTCGAGTTGGCTGCTTCGGTGGCTCCAGTCAGGGTGGCGACCTCGGTTTGCATGGCTTCGCAACTAAATAATAATAATAGTTAATGAAAAGTTTTAACCAAAGTCTGCTGGAAATTCGTGATCATGATAATATGATTGTGTGTGATTGGCGGTGGATAAACTATTTGCTAGATGCTGATAAATAAGTTGTGCAAATGGGTTTATATAAAACAATAAATTAAGATTTGAGAAGATCAATCTGCAGACAAAGCATATTCGGATATAATTTAATTAATCTCGGAATATGTGAAAAGACGAATTATTGCTTTTTTCTACCATACAAACATAATCATACAATATAAAAGGAAATTCCAAAGTTATAGAACACACCTAAAGGAAATTCCAAAGTTATAGAACACACCCTATATATTATCGAGATATTCAAACAATGCCACTTGAACTCACCGCTCGGCTTTGGTCAAGCAATCCTGCTCTAATTGATCCCGCTGAGCAGTGACCTTTTCAAGATTCTCCTTTAGAACCTGCACCTCTGTCCACTCCACATCAAAGTGCTTTTCCAAGCTGGTGAACGTTTGCAGCTCCTCGATCTCTTTCTTAATCTTTTCCACTCTGCGCATGCAAATGACAGATGAACCGAGGTGTGATATGATGTGGTTAGAAGATGTATGTGATGAGTAATGCTCTGAGAGTTTGGTAAAACAAGATGAGTACTTACGTTTCGGGCCCCATTGGATTGGGAACTGGTGTCAAGGCCAAGTCTGGCAGTTTTCGGCTTTTGGCTTGGGCCAGTGTTGTGGCGGCGTATCGAAGTCAACGCTCTCCGCAGGCACGAATTTTTCGTGGATCTCGCCGTCGTTATCGGTGGTGACATCCAGGGAACTGAGGATGTTTACGGTCTTGGGTACGGCATTTCCTCGATATGCAATATTAGAGGTGGCAAAAAATGTCGGCTTCGGCAGATGGGATAGATTCGAAGGCCGTATCAGACGAGACTCATTAAGAATGCCTGTCAGCGAGGGGAGGGAACCGTCCTGGCCCGTAGGCGCCGGGCACCAGGTGCGTCGGCGCTTCTGCTGTCGCTGATCACTCAGCGATGTGCTCGAGATGATCTTAGCATGTCAGTCTTGAGCCGCCGCTCCAGGTCCTGCACCGTCAGCTGACTCTCTTTCTTCCGCTTCTCTTCAGCGAGCTGACTCTTCAGCGTCTTGATCTCGCGTTCCAGTCGCTTCATCATCGTGGCGTCGGACACCATTTCATTGACCTGAGGCTTAATGCGGATCTTCTTGGCCCGCATGGCGAAGTTCAGCGTAGACTGCGACTCCTCCATAATCGACGGTTTGATGGTACATATAATGGAGGTAAAGGCATTGCCGCCCAACGACGCCTGTAGAATGCGCGTCAGTTTGGAGTCGCGAAAACTAATGAACTTGTTGTCCATGTTCTCGGAAAGGTTCTTGATCACGTTGCTAAGGAACATGAGGCTCTTGTTAATGTGAGCGCCCTCTTTAAGTCGTGCCCCGGTGGCCCCAGTCTGATCTGCGCGCTCGGATCCAGCCAGGTCCACCAGATTCAAAACGCTCTGGATAACAGCATCGTCGTCTGTGCGGTCAGACTTCCTAGACTCGATAATCTGGTAGGGAATCGAGATTTGAGTTTGGGACAATTGAAATCAGTTTCCAGAGTAACTCACTATCCGGAAGATGGCATGCGATCGACTGGAGCGCTCGTTCATATTGGTCTCGCCCACGGTGCGTTCCTTGTTTCCCAGGGATAGGAGGCGCAGGAGATCGTCCTCGCTAGTTATGATGCACTCCTCGCAGTTCACGTTCACGATTCCATTGCCAGCCTCGTGGATCTTTAGATCCTGGTTCTTCTTGTTAAGCAGGTCGTAGATCTTTTCGTTGTAGATCTCAATGTAGCCCACGCGCAGCAAGAAGTCGCGCTCGGTTTCGTTGGCTATTTGCTGGAAAATCTCTTTAGCGGCCAGCACCATAACGCCGGGATTCTGGCCATCGCCCATCATGGTATAGGTCTTGCCTGCGTATATCGACGATCAGCATCCGTGAGCAGGAGAGAGAGAGAATAAAATACTCACCCGACGACGTCTGGCCGTAGGCAAAAATAGTTCCATTAAAGCCTTGCATGCAGGCGCGAACAATGTGCTGAGCCATTCGGTCAAATACCTCCTGGTTGCCAGCGCCCTCATCGAAGACGTAGTCTGCGGGGAAGCGCATAAAAGGGAGGCCCACTATCCGGGATCACTGCATCACTTACCGAAGACACTGGGCTCCGCGTGACTGTCCGCCAGTTGGATGGAGCGGCCCTCCTTAACCTGCCATAGCGAAGAATGCCCGGGCTCGCAGGGACGCACCTTTATGCATACCTGGATAGAGTTGGCGCCCTTCGCAGACATTTTGTAGTTTATACTTATTTTCTAACGCGTTACGACACACACTACACTGTTTACAAACACTATTACTTTAACTTTGTGAAGGAAAAATGATCGACATCTTTGTTTTCTTTTTTTTTTGCAGTTGGATTCGAACAAATACCGCTTCGCGTTGATAGCGTTCCGGTTCCGACAAATTGAACTAGTCATACTTCGAACCAGTTCGATCAGAATATCGATCGTGCGGATGGAACCAGTTTTGAACTAGCTATCGATTTTTTCCGATATTAAAAGTAAAGTTTAGGTTTTAAATTATTAAACTTGGCTTTTAAATAAAATTGAGAAACTATTGAAGAGCCTTCTGGCTTGCAGTACTTTTATGATGGAAAGCTTTGCTGCAAAGTTCTTGGTTCTTGGAGTTCCATCTATCGAACTAGTAAAGCATCGCGGTAATTGTTCGAATTCAACTGACCACCGATCAAAACTATCAGAACTGACTATCGTTATCCCGCCGAAATTACTAATTTGGGTGTCTTCCTGCAGTATTTATCGTTAAGTGTCGTAAAGCAATAAGCATTACCAATAAGATGTCTGCAAAGGGGTCCAACATTGAGGATTGCATCAAGATACGCCCGTGCGAACCCGTGCGTTGGCGGACAGTTATGCCGAGCTCAGTATCTTTGGATACTGGAGATGTTTGATCGGATGGGTCAGCACATCATCCGCGCATGCAAACATGGCAAAATTTTTGCCTAAGGCCAGTCGTCTTCGGGTAAGTATTTACATTCCCTGTCTCTCCTGCCTACGGCCGCTGACTGACGCTATCCGCAGGAAAAACTTACACAATGATTGGCGATATAAGTAACCCCGGCGTAACGGCATTGGCCGTTAGAGAGCTTTTCTAGATAGTAACCAAAGAAAAAAGCGTGAGTTCCTGCTGCTCGCAAGTTACATAAATATATAGAATTAGAAGATCGATGACCTGAATGACATAAACAAAGACCTCAAGCTCCACGACGCTCAGAACGGGATCGTGAAGATTTACTCTGAGGAGTGCATCATAAGCAGAGAGGACGACTCCATGCGCCTTATGTGTCCGGGCAAGCAGGAGCGTCCCTTGGGCGAGGCCCACACACCTGAACACTCTGGCCATTCACACGCCATCCATACAATTGTGAGTTACTAAGATATTTCCGTTGTTTCAACAAAATTATCTCAACCTAACACAGATCGATGTATTGACACGGTCCTCCAGAGCATTCTCAATCTAGTGAACCTAGCTGGATCCGAGCTGAGAGATTTCCCCTCCTACATCACGAGTCACAGGTTCGCGTTTACAACAACCAAACGCCTGATGTTCCTCAGCATAGTAATCAAGGAGTTACTTATTTGTTTCCGCGAATCCAAACTTACTCGCATTGCTGCAGGCGTCACTGTGCGGCAATGCCTTTACCTCTATCATTTGCACCATTAAACCGTGGGTCATGGAGGAATCGCAATCTACGTAGAACTTCTCGATGCGTGCCAGATTCGCACCTAGCCGCATGTTAATAAGTGAACCACGGTACCATTATGATGGAGCGGCTTGATGACGAGATAAATAAGCTTCGGGATCAGCTGCCTGAAGAAACAGAAAAAAGATAATCAGCTTAAAGTACAGACCCTAAAAAGTGAACTGAAGGCCGAGGAGCTTAAGAACATCAAATGGCATCCGTTTCTTCTACATTGCCGCAGTATTTCGTCTACAGATATGCATATGTCCAAGGCCACTAATGTATATGAAGTGCCGCCAGTAGTGTCCAATGAGCAGTCAATTTCGAGGTGAGAACACTTTTTATGTTACTTTGTTTCGCTTGAAATGTTTTAATTCGACTTTTGTTTTTGACACCAACTTGATTTTGACAGGTGTTGACAGTTCCAGCAGAGCTCGCTTCACCTACTAGATTCAGTTTTAAATCTGCAAATTCACCTTAGGCGCGCGCTTGCTTACCTGAACTTTTGGATTGTATGTGGATTGAGTTTGAATGCTCCACTCCACTAGACTCTACTCGACTGTCTTCTCGCGCTCTCTTCGCTTTCTCGGCGCAGTCGCTGGGAAGAGGGCAAGCGAGCTCCACTCACCGTGCGGGCGCGAGTCGCGTAGAAAACGAAAACAATAACAAACGCCAACGCATACACACACACGCACACTCTGGGAAGCGTTTCAGAGAGAATCCGGGAGCGACGGGATGGGGCGGCTAGTGGGAGCCAGTTTTTGCGAATAGACTCGGCTGGAACCGATGACGCTTGGCCCTGCCGATCGTTTAATGGCTCTGAATATGCGATAAGGCAGAGTCGATCGAGCAGCCAGTTACTTGGCCAACTTGTTGATAATTAGATCGTTGGAATCCAACGGCTAACAGCACGTTCCTTCGTCTCCAACTCCGCCTCCGCGGCAGCTCGTCTTGGGTGATCGGTGACGTCGTTCCAACTGCCGAACCACCACCGTGTTTAGACTGTGATGTAACTCACATATAGATTGGTTGCCTGCAACTAAGAGAGAGAGAGAGAGAGTGAGTGAAAGATCTGCATCGATAAAGCTACGAGAGTACAACCGAGGGCGGAATAGTAGCTCCGGTTGAAGTTTGAACCTTGTTTGAGTGCAATATATGCGTAACCCACACCTTAAGTTGCGCAGACCTAATTAATAACGATAAAAATCAAAGAGAAACCCCCCATTAAGTCGATTGAATTGAAGCTACTGAGCTGCTTGCTCATTTAAAGAATTAGAAATAGTCTCAATGTCTTTGTTATATACGTCTTGTACGATTCCCCGACTGCAGTTGTTCATATCTATCTGTCCCACACACCTCGTCGGGTGCAACTTCAACTTGCCGCCGGCTGTTGCTATTTTTAGTGGCCTTCTTCCCTTAAAACAGGCAAGACATTAGGCTAGCCGAGTAAACAGTTTCAGTTTGTGACTGGAACTTTTAATTCCTTTCCTTTCCTTAAAATAGCCCTGTTTATTTATATTTATTTAATAAATATTAAACAACAAATAATTATAGGTGCGGTGCCCTACAGGCCGATGTCGAAGATCTTCCTGCATCCTATAACTAATACCTGGAGCAGGTAAATTGGCTGAAGTAGATCATCGCGAGGCAGGAAATGGAGAACCGTAGAGCGGTAAATTTGAAGCAGCAATTTGATTCTCACAAAGCCCAGTCCAAGCAGCTAGAAACCCAATTGCTTACGACCATCAATGAGAAGGATTCAACCATAGAGGAGCTACAGCAGTCGCTTAAGGAAAGGGATGTGCTGCGCATCGACAACATGCAGGCGGAGTATCAAGTGATTCAGGAAAAGTACAACAAACTTCAGGAGGAGTACGGGTCCCTAGAACGCACTTCGAATGCCTCTGAGGACCAGTGCCAGAAGCTGCTTGCTGACAACAAGAGACTGCATCTGAAGATTGGAACTTTAAAGGAACGAATGAAGAAGGCCCAGCGTAAGCTATTGGAAGCGTCCAGCCAAGATGCCCTAGTCGAAGAATTCAAAGATACGCGAAATGGAGACAAACAGAATTGGAAAGTTTCCGGACAGTTTTCCTCACCAGCTATGGGATACTCCCGAGGAGATCGAACGAGTGAGGAAGGCTTCTGGCATGAGTACTGAACAGAGTCGAACTTTCGCAATGGCCGTGAACATTGCTGCTATTAGAACCCATCCATCAGAGCGAGGTTAAGAAACAATATGGGAACCAAGCAATACAAATTAAGGGCAAAGCACCCCAGCTTGCTGCAACAAGTGAGGAGCTTCAGGTCGCAGAGGAAGAGCGGCTCCTCAAAATTATATCTCAACTGGAGAGGGAAGTTGCAGACAAAAATTCTCTCAACATGGCCACAGAGGGAACAGTTTGCAGCCTGCAGCATGCACTCTCGGAAAACAGCCGCCAGAGGCAGAAACTTACTGAAGACGCTCTTTTAATCAGCCAGCTGAAGGATAGAAATGAAAAGCTGGCCGAATCCCTAAAACAGGCGGAAGCCAGGCAGGAGCAGAACGTCCCTTCCTCTGAGTACGAAGAACAAATAGATGGACTAAGAGAATCATTGAGGAAAGCCAAAGATGAACTTAAATTACAAGAAAAGCAAAAGACTGATGAAATTAATGACTTGCTCCTCGAGTACTTGGAGAAAATTGAAAGAAGCGAGACTGAGAACTCTGCGAAACTGCAAGAGAGCAAGGATGTGTATGAAGGCCAACTCAGACGAGCAGAAGACGAGAGAGATAAGGCGTTAGATGAGCTTGCGATGATGAAATCTTCTGAGAAAGAGCGAAGTGCTCAACAGACTATGACAACCAAAATCGGAGACCTTGAAGCTGAACTGCAAAGTGCTAGGCTAAAGGCTGCTAGTCTAGACGATCTGCTTTTAAAGCATGAAGATCTGAAGATATCCCTTTCGGAGGCAACGGCAGTGTCCGCCACGCTACAGGAGAAGGTGGACATATGCAGTCACAACTGCTTGCTTCTCAAAAGGAAGTCTCCAGTCGAGATCTTGAAAAGGAACACCTTCGTTCGGAGCTAAAGCATGTCCAGGAGCAAAAGATACTGCTAGCGCGGAACAATTAGCTCTAAAAACTAAGCTGCAAACAGTGGAGGAAGAAATGGCCATCCAAGCAGGAAAGTTCGAAAAGGAGCTCACATATGTCAACAGTTCTATGATCGAGTTGCAGCTCAAACTAAAATCCCTGGAAGAGCGAAAGGATAACCTGGAGGCTGAAATTGAGGAGCTTAACGTTAAGTTGAGGAATGTCCACAACCTCCGCAACCAGCTTGAAGAAGACAAAAGCTACACACAACTTTACGAACTCAATTCACTGAGCTGGAGGAGACGAAAACTAGATTGGAGGAGGTACTACGGAATAAAGAAGCTGAAGTCAAACGTAAATTCTTGGATATGAGTCAAGAAGTGGAGCTGGGTCGCCATTCCCTTGGAGAACTGACCATGGAGTGCGACAAACTACGTTCCGATCTGGTAAACTAAACAGGAGTAAATTCTTTTTCACCTAATGGTTAAATTTACTTTTATTTTTTAGGAAACCAAAACGAAAAGTTTCCAGACCGAAAAGGAGGGTTTAAATTCGAATATATCCACTCTTCTAAGGAAAAGCAGCTGCTGGAAGAGAGGATCAAAACCTTGAATATGAAAGATAATCGTAATGCTGAACTCATAGCGAAACTGAAAGTCAAAGAGGCAGAATCAGAATCCTTGCGAGAAGTTGCTGAAGAAGCCAACATTAAATGCCAGCAATACATGGATCAGAAAGTGAAACTCACGAAGGAGATTGAAAAGCTACGAACAACTTTGGTAATATTTAATTTAACATTATTATTATTTTTTGAATTGAAATTTTTGTATTTAGAAAGCCAAGGAGAAAAGTATCCTAACGGAGAGGGAAAGAATGTCCGCCACTATTTCCAGTCTTCTCGAGGACAAGCGTAACCTCGAGGAGAAGCAGTGCACTCTGTGCGAGAGAGTAGACAAGCTAGAGAGCCAAGTCTCAGCATTAAAAGCTATCAACATCAATAGGTTTGACTCATCCATCGAGTCAACATCTCCAGCTTCTGTGAAGCTTCGTACTGCTAACAACTTGGATTCCAAACCCATTGTAAAGGTGAGTTTTTAGTCAATTTCTCTACACTCCAATTAAATGCTGATATTAATCCTCTCTGCAGAAATCGAGCATAAACGAGTGCGCGGTACGGAAGGAAAAAAGAAAGACTGCGCATGATGAGCACCGAAAGCAATCTTGCTGGAACGACTCACGGGATTTTGGCACCATGACGGATCCAGAGGTAAGTGCTGTCTCCGAAGCTTGAAATTTCGCATCCAATTAGATTCTTAATAATTGCAGAGGGCTGGGTCACTGCAGGGAACAAGGAGAAGATGAAGAATCCTCTGAAGGCAGAGAATAAGCAGCTCAAATTCCAGCTGTTTAAACAACAGCAGAAAGCGGCCACCGAGCAGAAACGACTACGCAGGAAGATCCATGATCTCACCACTAGTATTGCAAATACAACTGACCAAACGGTGCGTAGATTAAGATTGTTTCTTTTACTATTATTTCAGTAATTTAAATTTCAAATATTTATTTGCAGGTTGATTCCTAGAAAAAGAAATCGACGTGCTTGGAGGAAAAAGCCAAATAGTCGTGCCGGAAATTATCAAGTATTAGGTTATTTTGTTAAGTGTTATAAGTATTTATGTAAATTATTTTTCCATTAGTCAGCATTAAAAAGAAAATAATTAAACCAACCAAGGATTAAATATTTTTTAAAATTCTGGTAGCGGAATTGCATCCCTGGGTTCTTTTCATCGATATATCGATACCAACATAAATAAAATGTACAGTGCGAAAAAGTGCCGATAAACCTTATCGAGCAGACCGCTTGAGTGTTGCGAACGTCAGCGGCCAGTGTTGCAAAAGGCTGGACACGCTTACGAGCTGAGGCAAAACAGAAAATTACAGCAAAAAAGCAACGCAAACGACCCACAACGCCATGAACTCGGCAACAAAGGTAGGTTCCGGTCTCTATTCGGTCCGCCCGCGACGGCAACAGTTAATCCCGACACCCCGGCAACCGGAGCTCGGTCCGCGGGAAAAAGGCGGCGCGGGAGAGAGTCGAGAGTCATTCGTTTCGTCTCACTCCTGCGAGTGGGAAATTTGTTGTTCCATAGTCGTCGGGGTGGCGGGCGGTGGGCGGGGATGCGTTTGTTTTGAATTTGCACGCGCGCCGAGAGCAACAACAATGCCAATAACAATAACAATAACAAACTAATTCCACATCCGAATCTTGGTGCACTTCCAGGTTGGGGAGATATTCACGGCCGCCGGACAGGCGTTCAGCAGACTGGGCGACCTCACCATGCAGCTGCATCCCAACGCGGAGTCGCCGTCGGGGTAAGTGTGTCCACTCCTGGGATCTTGGAGATGTTAATCTCAGTGTTTTCGTGCTCTTGTGTCCGCGTCCCCGTTCTCGATCTCGTGTTCCCTCGCCATGGCGACGCCGCTGTAGGAAGTGGACGGACGAGGAGATCGACATGCTGCACTCGTCCATCATGCGCTTCTCGGACGACCTTAGCAAAATCAGCCTGAGCATCAAGAACCGCACCGTGTAAGTGATCCGATGGCGAGGGAACACTGGCCAGCTAGTTAGGCGCCATTTCTAATTCCCCGAATACATTTCGGCTTGTTGCAGCTCCCAGATACGGCAGGCGCTCAAGAAGAAGGCCTTCGAGGACGCGGGCATTCCCGCCAAGCAAGTGCCCGTCCAGCAAGTGCAGCACGTCATCCAAACACTGCCTCTCATCCAGCCGCAGCAGCCTCCTCAGCAGTCCCAACCGCAGCAACAGCAGCTTCAGCAGCAGCCACCTCAACAAGTATTCAAGACACAGCCCATCCAGCACGTGCAACTAGTGGCGCAGCCGAAGCAGATTATCCTGCAGCAGCCGCTGGCTCATCCACAGACCACCGCCACGACGGGAACGACGGTGACCGTCAAGCAGTATCAGCAGATGCAAAAGGCCGCTGCTCTGGCGGCGGCACAGGCGGCTGCTTCGGCGGCGGCCAATACGCCAACCATCACAGAAAACATCATCATCCAACAGCCTACGTCCACATCCACAGCGTCGGCGGCGGCGGGTACGACGACGGTGGTACTGCAACAGCCCTTGGCCGTCTCCACCTGTTCATCCACACAGCTCGTGCTGCCTGTGGGTGGTCCGGTGGTATCCACAGTGCTCTCCCCGACGGTTGTGATTGCCGACGATGTCGTGAGCACCACCTCCACTCCACCAGTGACAACGGCCTCGGGGGCGGTGGGAACGGTTGCGCTGGTAGCTTCTGGGACAGCGGGAGGTGTTGCGGCTGGAACGAACACTGCAGCGCCAGCGGGCCTGAAGTGCGGTCCGGACGTGTCCATGACCCTGAACCGCATCAACGTGCAAGAAAACGAGGCCGACGTAGAGGAGTGCCTTCCCGCCGAGGTGGTCAAACTGGACTTTGTCAGCGAGGAGGTGGCCGGGTGAGGTTCAAGCCCCCGCACTGGGCTGGACTACTTCTACTAGATTCTGCAGTCGCAGTCGCAGCCGGAGAACGAACGAATCACGTAAAATGGATGGAACACGCAGCCGCAACAAATCTAGTTCGAGAACTCTTAAACAAACGGTTCAGATGCCGCCCTAGCCCTAAGCCTAATCTGTTAAGTGTTGTCATATTTGATATACCTTGAAATCACCTTATCCCCGCCCTCGAAAGACAAATGGATTGCGTGGAAAATGAGATGTGGGAGTCGCGTCGCATACAGCGGGCGTAGATATTAATTTCGGAGCGTGTAAGCTGCGCCTAGACTTAAATATACGCAAGACACAATAGTGCAAAGTACATAAACGACGATCGTGTAAGTTAAAAGTGAATAAACGAGCATTATTTTAAGTTCCACTGAGCTCGGGGATTTTTCTTAATAGAGCTTTGGCTCTTGGAGTGGATTTGATATTAATTATTAGTATTTGCGGCATTTCGCTATTTATGTATATATTCTTTCTTGGTATTATAGTAAAAAGTATATAAATATTGGTCAAAAGCGATTTAACTTTTAGTTAAAACACAAAGTTGGAAAATGTGTATTTACTTTTTGGTGAGGATTAACCAATAAAAATAACCACCTTTCAATTCAAAAGTTAAAGATTAAAAGTATACAATTTCAAATATTGTCAATTTCCTTTTTCTCAAATGTAATGCAGCTAAGAAATAAATAAATTAAGCAATTTAAGGTATAAATTTATTCCTAACATTCGTGCCGCAATGTATTCGAATTCAAAATGTATAATCTGTAATCGATAGGCGATAACTCCATTCATTCAGCATTTGGATGCGTCCGCTTCGCAATGCGAATGGCTCGTGGGAAAGAAGAAGAGAAACAGCTGAAGATACGGATCCATCAACAACAACTCTTTTAAGCGAAATCTATTGTTTGCTGCGAAATGAGGCTACAACCACACATCCTGCTGGCGACATTGGCCTCTTGCTCGATTCTCAGCGGTACACTTGCCTACAAACCGGTGGTAATCCTGCATGGAATCCTTTCCGGGCCAGAGTCCATGACCTTTTTAGTGCGGGAAATAGAGAAGGTTTGTTATTGGACTCCCCTTGTTATTGTTTACAAGCAAAAGACCCCCAATAACAAGGTCAAAGTCTACTTAAACAGCGCAATTTATGTTTGTTTTTGTAATTCTTAGATTCATCCCGGAACCATAGTTTATAACTGCGATAAATTCAGCGGATGGTACAGTCTGGAGAACGCCTGGCGGCAGGTTGATCAGGTCAGGGATTACCTGAACGAAGTGGGCAAGCTACATCCGGAGGGCATCATTGTGCTGGGTATGTTGTAGTCTAAACTACCCTGAATTAATTCATTTAATATCTAACCCTTTAATTGCATTTCCCAGGCTACTCCCAGGGCGGTCTTTTGGCCCGGGCGGCCATCCAAAGTTTGCCCAATCACAACGTCAAGACCTTCATATCCCTATCATCGCCACAGGCGGGGCAATATGGAAGTAAGTTTGGCGTAATTTCATCAGGAAACAATCAGAGTGCTAATGGTTTATGCATTTTTATAATCACAAATAAGTTGTTGATATATACCGAACCGTCATATCTCGGTTTTAATGAGCATATGTGTTGTAAAAGTAACGATTCCTATAATTACTTCGACTCGCTTTGTTTCTTTTCTTTGTTATATCGTTTCTTTTGTATATTTTTCAAAAGAAATCCACATTAAAATTTAGAATTATGTAACCTCACTGAGAATTCTAAAATAATAGGGTTATTTTCCAATCTTTCTGTGCCCTCACAAAATAATATATATATACACTTCATTTTAATTATCCCTTTTATTTTCAGCCAGTTTCCTCCATCTGATATTTCCCGATTTAGCGGCCAAGACGGCATTCGAGCTCTTCTACTCCCGTGTGGGTCAACACACCTCTGTGGGCGGCTACTGGAACGATCCGCACGAGCAGGATCTGTATTTGAAATACAGCGAGTTCCTGCCACTGATCAACAATGAGAAAAGAACCTCAAATTCCACATCCTTCAAGATGGGAATGGTGCGGCTCGAGAAATTGGTCATGATTGGGGGACCCAACGACGATGTAATCACGCCCTGGCAGTCCAGGTAATATCTCTGCGTGTTTATTCGTTAAAAAAATAAATAACGTAAGGTTCAATCCCCTTTAGTCACTTTAGTTACTACGACGAAAACCTAGATGTGATTCCATTTTACCATCGAAAGTTCTTCACCGACGACTCCATCGGTATTAAGACCCTGCAGGAGGCGGACAAACTCATCATCGTGGTAAAGCCCCATGTCCATCACCTGCCTGGCAACCGGAAGGATGTCATCCATGAAGTCATAATGCCATATCTGGACTGAATAATTAACTCAAACTGTACTTGAGCGATCAAAAGGGCTGTGATCGATCGGAAAGACGGACAAAGCTCACACTCATCATAAGCGTTAATGTGAAGCCAGCATACAGAATGATCTTTTATATATAATCTAGGTTTTTATAAATTGTAAGTTTACAGCGATTTTTAGTTGTGTAGGGAAATTTATATGAAATTATTAATATATATTTTACATACTTATATATTATTAAGTTTTTTAAAAATATCTGGTTGAGAGGGACTAACGACAGTGTTTAAAACCTATGTTATCAATTGTCAATTTAAATACGGCGCCTTATCGATATACGAGCGATTGCGATCCTCCCAACATTAGAATTCGTCGCCTTCGATAGTTTGCTCTCTTGCTATCGGTTTGGTTCTGGCGAAATTAAGGCGGCAACTAAAATTGTGTTTATTCTATTTTAAACAAAATAACAACGCCATGGGCGATACTACAGGAGCAGAGCAGGACGCGGACAATGTGATTCGCATCCTGGTAGCCACTGACAACCATTGGGATACGGCGAAAAGGATGCGGTGCGCGGCGAGGACAGCTTTACTGCCTTTGAGGAGATTCTAGAGCTCGCGGTGTCCGAGGACGTGGACATGATCCTGCTGGGCGGCGACCTGTTTCACGACGCAGTACCCACCAGAATTCCATGCACAAGTGAGTGGCAAACCTGTTTTTATTGTGAGTCCTATAGTTTTTCTTCCCATCGTTCAACAGATGCATCGAACTCCTACGGCGTTACACCTTTGGTGATCGGCCCGTTTCCCTGGAAATCCTCAGCGACCAGGCACAGTGCTTTCACAATGCTGTAAACCAGTCGGTAAACTACGAGGATCCCAATCTAAACATTGCCATCCCAGTGTTCTCCATCCATGGCAATCACGACGATCCCAGTGGCTTTGGCCGTCTGAGCTCTTTGGATCTATTGAGCACCACGGGCCTGGTGAACTACTTTGGCCGCTGGACGGACCTCAGTCAGGTGGAAATCAGTCCTATTTTGATGCGCAAGGGTGAGAGCCAGATGGCCCTGTACGGGCTGAGCCACATCCACGACGGACGATTGGCTAGGCTGGTCAAGGATTTAAGGTGAACTTTAACTGTCCCGACAAGCAACGCGAAGACGGAAGGAGGGCGAGGAGGAAGACGAGTGGTTCCACCTGCTGGTGGTACATCAAAACCGTGCAGATCGCGGGCCAAAAACTATCTGCCGAGGATCGCTGCCGGCGTTTCTGCACCTGGTGATCTGGGGTCACGAACACGACTGTCGTATCGAGCCGGAGGTAATGCCAAGAAGGGATTCTATGTCTCGCAACCGGGCTCCTCTGTGCCCACGTCTCTGTCTGAGGGCGAGGCCAAGAAGAAGCACGTCGGCCTGCTCGAGATCTACAAGAACAAGTTCAAGCTCAAAGAGCTTCCACTGCAGACAGTGCGTCCCTTTGTCTACGACTCTATTGTCTGCCTGATCGCGCCGAAGAGTTAGGCCTGAACGAGGGCGATGCCTCCACTAAAGTATTTCGATTTGCCAAGGAACGGGTAGAAGCCATGATTGCGCAGGCAAAGGACCAGCTGACAGGTCACCCCAGGCAGCCCACACTGCCGCTCATCCGGCTGCGGTTGCTTACACCGACGAGTCGTGCATGTTTAACACAATCCGATTCAGCCAGATGTTTGGCACGCGGGTAGCCAATGTTCAGGATGTGGTGCTGTTTAGCAAGCTAATCAAGCGGACCAAGATGGAGGCTGTTAACCTGGACAAGGAGGCATTGCGACGAGCCTTGGTAGGCATAAAGGATACATTTCTTACTTATTAATTACCCTTTCAATCATTTTAGGAAGCGGATAATGCCACACGTGTGGAAGAGCTAGTAGATCGTTATTTCGACGAGGCAAAGACCAAAAAACCTTTAAGGTTACTACACTCAAAGGCCTTGGCCGAGATGACCTATCGCCTGGTGGAACGAAAAGATGCCAATGCTGCCGAAAACATTGTCAAGTAAGTCATAAAAACACACAATTATTTTTCGCATATTAACCCATGCAACCTATGCAACGCAGGTTCTATAAGGAAAAAGCAGTGGATTATTTAATGGAAACCCTGCCCAACGATGAGAATATTGACGATGCACTAGAAAGTTTCCGCGTGCGCCACAAACACGAGGACCTCTTAAAAATGCTCGATGCTAGGGGAATCAAAGTGAAGCCGGAAGAAAAATTCTCATCTGTTTTGGCAAGTGAACCGAACACAACAGATGCCCCCACGACGGGACGGGGACGCGGTGGCCGTGGCCGTGCCAGCACTCGGGGCCGTGCTGCTGCCACAACAGCTGCCCGTGGCAGAGGCCAGTTAGATGTGTCTGTCAATACCACGGTATGGAAATTTTTTTTTGCAAAATTTTTTATCTAGCTTACGTTTTTTCACTTTCGAACAGCGCTCCTCTGGAAGGCAACAAACTCTCTTGAGCAACGTCCGAGGCATCGTAATGCCGCCACCTACACTATATCGGATGATTCTGATTAAAGACTACACTTCCGGTTCGCAGTTAACACATGTGACTTCGTAAGCTGAATAAAAGAGAATGAAATTTGTCTTAACCTATTTTTGACAGATGATATATATAAATCGATTTTTCGATATTTGATGCCATATATCAGTATTTTACCGGTCCGATATATGTTCGGTGAATCGTTATTCTTTTTGATATAAGCTCAAAAGAGACAAATATACCAAGTAATATTTTATTTTTCAATGATTACAATATTTTCAATATAATTTGAATATTTTTCGATATTTAAAAATTGCATACATAACCTCTAAAAGTTAAAAGATACCGATATTTTAACATGATATTCATCGGAATATATATGTATCTGTCATTTCAATATTTTTCGATATTTAAAAATTGCATACATAACCTCTAAAAGTTTAAAGTTAACGATAATTTTTACATGATATTCATGCAATGTATGTATTTGTCAATAAGTCATGTGGAGCACGTGGAACCTTCTCGAATCCTTCTATATCTAACCCCCCAAATTTTTATATTGATTTAGTTTAATATTAGTTTATTATTAGGGTTAATCGGCGTCTGGGCCAACTTCAATATAGGTAGCCTATGTCTTAAAAGCTACATAAAGGTGAACGGCTGCTGCCAGGCGGCTATGGGGGCGGTATTCGAACCCCGATTGATTGTGGATCGTTTCTTTGGTAGCCTAGCTGCTTCAGGACTCCGCCGGTTAAACGGCGGAGAGTTCTCCAGACACCCATCCGACCGGATACGCCGGCGGAAACGCTTTACTGCTGGTGGTACTCGTAGTAGTAGCGATATGGATCCACCGAAGAGCTGCCACCCGCGGCTGTTACGCCCACGGTACCGACTCCTCCTGCCCCAGCGGTCGTCTTGGAGACCGGCCGGATCACATAGGTGTTGCGCCTGAAAGAGAAATGCACGATAATTACATTGGGTTCAGTTTTGGAGGAGTTTTCCCTCATTTGAATCCAAGTTCTATATTAATCCTATGTAAATCTCTTGCAGACCCACCTGTTGTTATCTCCGGCGTGCACCTGGAAGCTGTGCTCCTCGCCGCCGTCGGTTGAAAATAGCTTCTTCAGCGCTATGATACCGGCAATAGTCAGGGCCACCTTGCTGATGACCAACGCCTTGCCAGCAATCGTCGCTAGAGCCTTTAGGCCCAAAGGACCAGCGATTCCCATGGCGGTGAGCAGGGCAGCCACCACTATTTGATGTGGCCGCCTTCCTTATGCTTCTTCTTCTTCTTGTGGCTGTGCTCATGGCCACGTCCCACAACTTCATCGCTGCCGCTGCCAACGTCCATGTCAATCTTAAGCGTGTGCGTCCGTATGAGTTTATCCGCCTTGGAGAGAAGGGCTCGATCGATAGGAGCCAAACCACCAAACTGTCGGGCATCTGTCAGTGAGGACAAGATACTGTCCGGTTCGGTTTGGTTCTGCTTCTCCAGCACTAGGCCATCCGCGATCTTAATAGAGTCTTGATCCAATGCGCGAGAGAGTGCGTGAAGTGCTTTCTGCTTGAGGCATCCTATAAAGTCGTTCTTGTCTGGCAGTCATCGTAGACTCTTCTCACAAGCGCCATCTCTGGGCCCAGATCCCATCCCCAATCACTGAGACTGGAGGAGGGCGTCTCCACTGTACTGTGGCGTCGTCTTCGCGGAGCCACCGCCGTTGAGACGGAGGCAACCAACGCCAGGAGCAGCAGCCACTCGAGACGCTTCATCGTTTAATAGTTGTGTGTTTGTGTGTATTCAGCTATCCAGTGTCCTGATTTAGTGTTCTTGTAACTGATCTCTGCTATTGTATATCCACAGCCAGTCGTCGACGATCTTGGGATGCTACTGCAGCGAAATCGCTGGGCGGTGAGAGCTTTTATAAATTGCGTCCCGAGACTGCGATTCACTCAGACGGAAAGAACTAGCGTGCTCGATGGGATGCAGACGGATCTTGGACCTGAGTTCGAGATGAAGACGGATCGGCAGCTGCTTTGGGAGGGCAATTAGCATTGGCCATATGTATTTTGCGATGCCTTCAGCCGGCTTTGTGCGCTGACATGTTTTCGTTACCCAACCACGGATGGATGCCCAACGATGCTCCGCTCTCGCATTCATATTCGGCGTCGACGGACTGCTGGCACTTTTCGATTTCTATAAACATTTTGTATCCCATCGGTGGTATTACAATTACACTCATCCATCAGTGATGCTTTTTGAGTAATTCAATTTAAATAATTTTCATACTTACTCCTTAAATATTTAAATTAAAACTTTAACATTTGTTTCTGACGCTAAAGAATATTATTTAATAAGGTTTCTAGTTCTTTCTAGGTGACATAGGAACCATCTGATCAAAAACAAAATTATTATAGTTGTAAACTGTGTGATTATTATTTTTTTTTTAGTTCAGGATATTATTATTTAAGTCAGAAGCTTGCAAAGCAGTGAAGGAATCATTTTTATTGATCAGCATCAAAATCTGAATCGATCTAGCCATGTCACGAAGGAAAAAATTGCAAAATTTTATAAAATTTATTAAAATTGTCAAAATTTGTCAAAAATAATATTTAAAATCTTAAAACTCATTATGCAGATTTGTTGCCGTTTAAAAACTAGCACAATCCGCTTTCCGAATCGAAATTAATGCATTTTTGGCTTAGTTGTGATATTTAAAAAATTTAATTTACTCAAAAAAGTAGTATTTAAAAAACACCGATTTAATACACATAGAATATACATATTTAAGGTTTTCTTGGAGAATATGAAGACCCAGAAGCCAATGAATGCCAAAGGTTAAATATATTTATTTTGTAATTTGATTCCTTATTAATAACCAGTAAAACATGCAAGGAAAATTTAAAAAAAATATGTAACTAAATTTTTCCAAAATATTGTATCATCATGAAGTGTTTAATATATTACGTATAAGACCCCATTATGCCGGTATCCTTATAATATTGAGATTATAATAATTGAGATAAATACATTTTGGCATTAGTAATGATCTAATCAAAATTCTTATGGCTAAGGGTGTTTATAGATTAAAATAATAGTTAATAATAGTCTTCGTTATATGCTCACATTTTTATTTAAATGTAATGTACAAAACTTTGTGTACTGGGTATCTCATGATCGAGCATACTCCACCGCAACGTTCTTTTACATGGTTATCTCACAGTTTCTACTTTGTAAGGGCTCAGATAATATCATGTAATATTAATTTATATTAATAAGAAAAAAAATATAAGGAATTCTTTCTCTTAGTACTCTGTAAGTACTACGTAAGACCAGTACTACCCACCCACTGGCAGTTTCTCTTCAAAAAGGCGAGCACTAGATCACTAGAACTGCCCATTTTCCATTTAAAACTCGTGGTTTCCAGTTAAATAGAAGAACAATGGCTATTCAAACAGAGAGAAGAGACTGGGGAGAGTAAATATGGTTATTAAGTGCCTCAAAAAAGTAGCAGATCCCCGCAGAGGCAACAACCGCTCCGCACACCACACAGTACACACCTTCATGTATAAATATTGGCTAGTAATGGCTGATGATCTTAATGATGCGTGCAACAGAGTGATTAAGCCCAACGGCTACTGCCCCTGGTAGTTGTTTCGACTTGAAATCGGTGCGCCTGCTGGCATAACATATTGCTGGTGGTGCCAATGGATGTATGTAGTCCGCAAATTGGTTATCATAAATTGCATTTGCTTGGAGGTGATGTCGGGGTTTATTCCCCCGTCGATGCCGTGCGGTGATCGTTGCACATTTGGCTCACTGGCCCACTGGGTGAAATTGAGTTGGATACCGTTAAGAGGAGATTTTCTTTTCTGCGCACCAACTGTGAAAATTAACAGCTCCCATCCCCATGGCTACGCCTTCGCCATCCCCAATTAATTCGCTTTTGCGGAGCTGAGAGACACAGTCCCAGCCAACCCAATGCGGTGACACATGGTGTTGTGTTTTCATGGGATTGTTGTGAAAAGTGATAGACACTTTCCATCAAGTTCGGATCTTATAAGACAACAAGCAAAAAAGCTCAAGAACTGGCGAAAGTAAAGAGCATAGTTAAGGGAAAATTATGATAAGCTACTTTAAAGTTGTATATTTATTTATGTACTTTTAATATAAGCTTTGGATAATTAGAGGTCTTGATCTAAAAGTTATCTGGGAGTTTTTAGCGAACCTTTCCCATAATATTTATTATTCATATAATTAGATAAATCTTTTAGAAATCGTTTTTAATATTCTTCTTGCGTCCTGTATTAAACAACTTAAGCTTAGCATAAATGTTAAACTTAAATGTAAATTACCAATAGCTGGTTGGGATGGCTTTCTACTGTTAATATTATTATAATGCTTCTTTTAAAGTACTTTACTTTAAATTACCTCAAGTATTGTTTTTAAAAAAGATATCTAATTGTGAACATAAAGCCACATATATAGTATACACTTTTCTATATATTTATATAACTTACCTCTACACACATATGAGTGTGCCATGCACACGAATCCTCTGCTCAAGAGGGTGTAAATAATTTAATACATCAAGAAAATTGGAAATGAAAGTTTCTTTGTTTTGGTTTGGCGTTGCCGCAGCTAACTTTTAGTTTCGAGCTCGCAGATAGCTGCGAGTCCTGCTCCTGCTCCTGCTCCTTTGTCGTAACGAAAAAGGACGAATGGACGCAGTTGGACGGACAATTTGTGCGATTTATTTGCACATTTCGGCTGACCAAGTGGGATTCCTGGGGGCGGTTGGGAGTCCATGTCCGGGGACTCTTATCGTCAATAATCATCATATGCTCAAATTTTTGGTCGCTTAATTGGAAAATTGTTGTTGTTCTGCGATACGCCTGAGCGATTGGGTGATTGGATGGCCAGGATGCGGATCTGGATGGATGGACAAACGGATGATTGGTTTGGCTGGCGTCTGCCATCCTTAGGAGTGCCGTTTGATTGATGGCCTCCACATTGTTTTGCGGCCTTGTTTGTGATAATATTTGGCCAGCGCCAGAGTTTGATTGGCATTTGGGCCAAGTGCCTTTGTGGTTGTTAGCCTAAAGCCCAACAAGTCAGCACGGAGAGAAAGCAAAGCTTAATATGCTTGTTAAGTTCAGTAATAATATTTGTTTAAACTGTAATCTTCATTAATTATAATTGTAATAAATAAAAAAAAAATCATAGTCATTAGTCATTATCTTAACATTTCCATATTT